AAATAAAATCACACATATACAAGTGGCCAAGCTGGGATTTAATAATGTGCCTAAAATAATATAAGTACAAAGTGACTGAAATGGGATGTGAACTCAAGCAGTCTTAGTGCCAAACTCTTCTTCCCCACTAGCTACAAATTGCCTGTTACCCTAATTACTGTTTCTTTATTTCTACAATGTGCTTTCCCTGTTTGATTTTAGGTAATTCTCACAAGCCTGTATTATATTCTTTTTGTTTGCTGAGATAGGGAATCACTCTATTGCCCAGGCTGGCCTTGCACTCCTGGCTCAAGTAATCCTCCTGCCTCAGCCTCCCTAGTAGCTGGAACTATAGTTGTGCACCACCACATCCAACTTATTATCCCCATTTTATACAGGGCTAAATAGGTTTCAAGAGGTTAGGCAACTGCACTGAGTATAACATGTAGCTGTAAACACCAGCTTGGGAGTGTGGCTGCCACAGAAGGAAACTGAAATCAAAATGAAAAGACCTGGGACCAAATCTCAGTTCTGCCATCAACAGGCTTTGTGACCCTGGACAGCTTACCTTGACATGGTCAGGGACCCCTCCCCTACGCAAAATAGGACCCCTTAGGACTAAGGAATGAAAACCTTTCAGGGGAAATAGGGCCAAGCTAGCAGTCTTATGGAATTGATACACATTCCAGAAAATGAGGAGTTAAAAGGTAGGCTAGTTTTTAAGGTTATGGAAATGAGGTAATAGCCCCAAAGATGAGAGGCTGGGGAAGTGGGCTTAGCCATTTGAGTCCACTCGGTCGGTCAGCAGATATGCCAGCCCAAGACAGGCAAAGCAGGGTCTGCACTACTCTGAAAATAATAATACTTTCCCAGATGATGAGTGACAAATGCATAGGTAAAATAGTTACCATTAAAGTAAACCACAATTACCTTTATCTTATTAGCATAATAAAACACCCCCCCCAAGGGAATGAGATGTGCAAAGATGCAACTTCAGTGCCACCTGTATGCATAATGACATCAAGTGGCTGAGCTCCTGTAGCTCCTGCCTGCCCCACAGATGCCATAAAAGCTCTTCTCCCCAGGGATCTTTGTCCCCCAAGTGCTATCTCCCTCTGTCTAGAATAGAAGTTCTTAAACCCTTGCATGTTTAAATCATTTCAGGGTCCTTTGTTTATTTCTACAACTCTGGGTCTAAGAGGGCTAGGTCAGTAACAATTTTATTGGTCAAGCCTTGTTTTTCACAAGTGGGATTGATCATTCCCCTACAACTTTTGCATTGTGAGTGAAGGAAGCAAATAAGACCAAATTATACAGTCCACCGAGAACATCTAAAATGAGCCGGGCACAATGGTGCATATTCATAACTCCAGTTATTCAGGAGGCTGAGTCAGGAGGATCGTAAGTTCAAGACCAGTCTGGGCAACTCAGCAGGAACCTGGGGGGGGGGGGGACACAAACACCTGTAATCCCAGCAACTTAGGACACAGAGACAGGAGGATGGCAAGTTTGAGGTCAGCCTCAGCAATTTAGCAAGCCCCTAGGCAACTGAGAATCTATCTCAAAATTTAATAAAATTTTAAAAAGGGCTGGGGATGTGGCTCAGAGATTGGACATCTATGGCCTTGAGGCCAGAAGTGAAGCATGTCTCAGTGTGCTGAGATGCTCTTCTAGGGTATTCTAGGGTATTCGCAGGGTTGCAGATGGACTCCAAGGTGGAAGACTAGGATGGATTGATAGGCTGAGCAGGAAAGCACCTACAACCCAGGTGCAATGGGACAAAGGAGAACCAAGGCCTTCATCTTTCTCCCTTTTCTCTATTGGCACAGTCTCCCATTTATTTATCCCTTTCTTTTTCTATGTATTTATTTTTTTTAATTCAACAATACTAGGGATTGAACCAGGGGCTCTACTGCTGAGCTACACTCCCAGGCCTTCTTTCTTTTTTTAATTTTGAGACAGGTTGCCAAGGCTGGCATCAAACTTGCAATCCTCAGCCACCTGAGCCCCTGAGTGCTGGGTTTCTGTTCTCGAGACTAAAAGGCTCAGGGGTCACTCCAGTTGAACTGGGCTAACTGGGCTACACGAAATAACCACACGAGACACAAATACCTTTTTATTTGGAGTCACTGTGACGGCTCCTCTGACGTTAAGGGTCCGCAGAAAGAGAAAGAGCGAGAGCACGCGCTGACCCCTTTTATCGAGGAGAAGCTATTCAAATGAGGCAAGGGTCAGGTTTCAGGGGGCTGAGTATCTTCATGATGTCCACTGTAAGCAGGTTGACTGATACCTGGTAGGCCACACCCAAGGGCACAGTAAGAGAAGGGGATACACACAAGGCACTTCCATGGAAGATTCTATCCTAAACAGGACAAGGGGTTATATTACAAAGGAACAGGTGAGCGTAGCTTCACCCACGGGGGGCTGTAGCAAGACACAACCATGCACAAGACACTGACCCTTGCACCCAAGAAGGGTGGGGAAAGCTCTGCCACATTTCTGCGACTGAGCGCCTCAGCACCCAGCCAGGGAATGTGACTCAGTCACGTGCAAGGTTGGTCTCCCACACCTGAGATTACAGGTGTTCCACCTTACCTAGCTTATCTCAGCCTTTTATTATTATTTCTTTGGTGGTACTGGGGATTGAATCTGGGAGGTACTCTACCACTGAGCTATACTTTCAGCCCTTTTAATTTATTTTTTAATTTTGAGACAGCATCTAAGTTGCCCAGGCTGGCCTTGAACTTTCAATCCTCCTGCTTCAGTCTCCCAAGTAGCTGGGATTACAGGCATGAGCTACCATATCCAACTTATTACTTATTTTTTATTCTTTTGATCCTGGGAATAAAAGCCAGAGTCTTGGGCATGTTAGGAAGGCACTCTACCACTGAGCTACACCCCCAGCCTAAGATGCAGAATTATAATGTCAAGAAAACCTAAAAGATGCAGACTGGACTTCATGAATCAAGAGGGCAAAGCATCAATTTCAACTTCCTATCTTTTGTGTGTGTGTTGCTGGGGACGGATCCCAGGTCCCCTCACATGCTAGGCAAGTGCTTCCCCACTGACCTATTTGTATTCCCCCAGCCCTACTTCTTATTTCTAGCTCAGCACTCTCTCCTATGATTCTACGTAGCTGCTGGTAAAAATATTAACTTACCTTTTTTTGGTCATGTTTTCATGGACGTAAAGAAAAACTGTTTCCAGTATGAATGCTTTCCTTTTTAAAAATTTTCTGCAGTGCTTAATTTTTTTTACAATGGTATTTCATTCTAATAAAAACAATAAAGCTAGAAGAAGCAATGTTAAATAAATAAATACATATGCAACCTAAGGTTGGAAAAAGAGACTTGAATGAGGTTACTTGTGTTTGCTTCCCCATCCCACACAAAGCCATTAAGCAAACAGCTTTCAAAACTCTCTCTCAGAGAAAAAATCAGGTTAAAATAACCTGCCCTACCTGTTTCTTCTACTCTGTGCCATTTAATGTATTAAACAGCCTTAAAAAAAAAAATCAAAACAGGAAACATCACAATCTCTTAAGAACAATACATTTAATACATTCACAGGATTCCAAATGAAAAACAACATTACTCATGCTATATGTTTTCAGTTTTCCTTGGACAACACAAAAAAACACAGTACTCAACCTTGCGTTTTCACCAGAGGAATGTGAAATCTCATTTTGACACATATACTCTCATTTTGACACACAAACAAGTTTAAAGAAATAAAAACAACATTAAACTACTGCAGCACCAGCTGACTTCCTTCAGTTTCCACTCAAAAAACACAGAACTCAACCTGTGTGTTTTCATGGGAGGAATGTGAAATCTCATTTTGACACAAAGACAAGTTTAAAGAACTAAAACAACCTTGAACCTATTGTGATACCAGCTGACTTCCTACAGCTTCCACTCTGTCCCACACCACACCACCCACAGCTGCACAGGGAACTCTCCCCCTCCACCCTTGTTTCCTCAACAGAAAATTAAATATTTAGAGGTCTGTCACTGAATTAAAACTACTATAACATGCTAAAAAAAAAAAAAAAAGCCAATTTATTTGTTGAAAGAGAGGAGTAAGATTAGATGATGCTTAAAGGGCATAGGGAAAACTATTCACATTTGTCTCATTTGCTTCACTCTGGTTTTAGAACATAGGATTGTGCCCAAAGGAACTAATGATGCCAAGAAATACCCCAAACACTAATTATAAAGAAGGACTATGCTAATGTTTATGAAAAGCTTATGCTAATGTGGAAAAATATTTAAGTTATAAAGTTAAATGAAAAAGAAGGATACAAAACTGTATATGCATTATGATCTCAACTATGTCAAAAGCAATAAAACAAAATATGCCCTGTAAGAGGCTGAAAGAAATTAGTGGAAAAGCTCAACAGCGGTTGTATTTAAGTAATGTGTCTACAGTGATCTTTTTTTTTTTTCTTCTTTTTTTAACTTTCCTGTCTCTTCTAAATTTTCTCTCATGGGAGGATTTTTTTTCAAAAAATATTAATTACAAAGAAGTAAGTCTGAATTAAGTTTTGAATTTGAATCCAATCTATAAGAAAGGATGTGAATGTTCATAAAACTGTAAAACATTCCAGGCTCCTTGACAATTCTACTGTTGAGAGTAACTAGCCTGAGGGTAGAGGGGTTCAGCTTCTCCACATCCCAGGAAAAAGTGTGACCAGGTCCTACTGATGCAAATGCTGAACTGAACAGAAATGTAATGGTTTTACAGAAAGGAACAGATATCCATGCCTGGCAACAACTTTTTTATAGTAGGAGCTCTTCCACACTAAATTAAACATGAGGATGGCTCTTTCCTGCTATTGCCTAGATACATGTCAAGTTACAAGAACACTATTATCAGTCAGGCATAGTGGCCCATGCCCATAATCCCAGCGATTTGAGAGGCTGAAGCAGGATTCTAAGTTCAAGGCCAGCCTTGGCAATTTAGCAAGACCTTCAGCAACTTAACAAAATCCTGTCTCAAAATAAAAAACAAAATGGGCTGGAGAGGTGGCTCAGTGGTAAAACACCCCTGGGTTCAATCCCCAGTATCAACAACAAAAACAAAAAGCACAAACACTATTATCACAGTGGCTATGGAAACCTTATCCTCGTTTAGAAACATTAATAAAACAGTATTGCAACAAGAGTGGACAAGAAAAGTGCAACACTTAGAAAAAGTGCTTTCTATAAAAATGATTCCCTTTAACATGTTTCTTTACTGCACACACTTTAAGGCCTCCCTCCTTTCCCCTCAACAAGAGAGGAGGCCGACCCTCCAAATGCTTTCTTCTAAATCATCCATCAGACTGAAGGCGCACAGTGTCCGAGGCACTAGGGTCTCAAAGAGGAGAAAACCTGTCCCTGTCTCAAGGACGTTGCAGTCTTGCAAAAGTGGGAGGTGGACATATCCCCAACCATCACATGTCCCTTAAAAGCAGACACTGCCTCTTTCTTACCATTAAAGAACATGCTGCAATTCTCACTGAATTACTTACACAAATATCCTTACACTGAAACTTTCCTGACTTACTAGGAGGCAAAAATGCAAGTATTTTCTCTTGGTGAGTACTTCTCAAAAGAGCAGGTACTAAGTGACACTTCTGACATTTGCCCCTAAGCATCACAGCGCCTAGTGAAGTCAGTTAACGTACTTCTTTCTAGGCAATAGGAGCTTATTTTACTCCAAAAAAGATATTTTGAAACCGAGAGTAAGTGACCAGTCCTATATCTAGATCAATCCTCATCAGCATGATCAAAAGCTGAGATGCAGGAACGGTAACTTCAATTAAATTCTTCAGTCTCCTATTCCAATCGTTGATTTTCAATGTGCTCCTGTGTTAGCCGTTCCAGGTCTTTCCGCACATTCGGGTGGTCTTCCAGATCTTCGTAGAGGGACCTGACGATGTCCAGTCTCCTGTAGTTCTCGGGCTTGACTAGGCTTCGGACAACCTGCAGGCATCGCTCTTTCAGGGTATACACTGTAAGGCAGGAAACCAAATCCTCAGTGGCAGGCTTAGGCCTCAGAGCAAGGAATGAGTGAGAGGCTCTGCCAATCCCAGCAAGTATGTTTACTAAAGGCGAACCTTACATTAGGTTAAAAAAAGAAAAGGGTGAGCACATATGTTGTGTGTGACATTAATGGGTGCCTCATGAGTTTCATGCCCCTGTATAGTAACTTCCCCTTGAAAGTGAGACTGTGATTTGCTTAAATGAAGGCAGATGAGGTGATGCTGGCTTCTCTGAGCCTAAGCCTTAAGAAGGGGTGGTGACTTCTGCTTTTACATTCTTAGGAGCCCTGAGTTTCACTGCTGGAGAGAGCACACAGGAGGGACAGTCCCTGAGACCACCTGGAAGAGGGGCCCAACCCCAGGCCACCTGCCAGCAGAAGACAGCAACACTGCCAGTCTACAAAATAAACACCAAGCTGAACTCAGCATAGGCAGCAGAATTAGAACAGATTTTTTTTTTAAGTTTTAGGGGCTGTTGCCATATTGCAATAGATATCAAAACCAGTGTGTAACTAGATTTGGGAATAACTCAATTTTTATTTTAATCTCACTGGGGAACTAACTTTTTAAAGGTATCAAAAGAGGCAAAATTTAACCTAACAGTGCTCATTTTGTACACCCCCCCCCCATTTTTTTTCCCCCCCCAGGGATTGAACCCAGGGACACCCACTGAGTCACATTCCTCAGCCCTTTTTATTTTTTATTTTGAGACAGGGTCTCACTAAGTTGTTTGGGGCCTCGCTAAGTTGCCGAGACTGGCTTTGAACTTTCAATCTTTCTGTCTCAGCCTCCTGAGCTGCTAGGATTACAGGCATGCACCACTGAGTCTGGCCCCACTTCTTTAAAACAGTATCTATACATACATTTTAGTTTTAACCCAATGAACCCATAGGTACTTATTTGGGTTTTGTTTTTTTTTTTCCTGAAGAACTTTAATTTCACAGGGTTCAACTTAATAAATAAAATATTTTGAGCTTTAAATGAATAGTGAACTATGGTATTAATCTTTAATTCATTGATTTATTAATCCCTGATTGACACCGAGTTTAACTGGATTAAATTAAAAATATAACACCAGAAGTCAACAAATAAGCCATGATATCTTTTTTTAAAAATATTTTTTTAGTTATACATGGGCACAATATCTTTATTTTGTTTATTTATTTTTATGTGTTGCTGAGGATCAAACCCAGGGTCTCACACGTGTGAGGCGGGCGCTCTACCGCTGAGCCATAACCCCAGCCCCATGATATCTTATTTTCCTATTCTTCTGGGACCCTAGGGACAAGCCTACTCCAAATGGCATCCATAATTCTACAATCAGATATTCAGTTTAGACCATCTTTTAAGAGCCCAGAGTGCTTTTGAGATACCAAAACATCTTTGTTCAATATACATCTATTGAACAGGCGTGGTAGTGCACACCTATAATCCTGGTAATTCAGGATGCTGAGGCAGGAGGATCACAAATTGGTGACCAGCCTCAGCAACTTAGCCAGATCCTGTCTCAGAATAAAAACTAAAAAGGACTGGAGATGTGGCTCAGTGGTTAAAAGCCCCTGGACTTAATATGCAATACCATACATACACACACATACACACACTCATACACACACCATATGAAAAAATATTATTTACAGTAGAGAACAAAGCATAAAAAGACTGAATGAGAAGGCTCACCAACCTCTAGCAAAAAATAGTAAGAAATGGTACTCCAAGTAACCTATCTTCTACTTATTCCAAGGAACAATCTTATCTTTTTAAAAAGACTGAGCATCAGTACCTGGCAGAGTGATGTTGGCAAAAATAGGCTGTCCGTCAACATTGAGAGATGGCACAAATAGTTCAGTTTGGTTAACCAGAAGCCCGTCATATGTGCCTGCGTCTCTGAAGAGCCAAAGGTGACCTGTTAACACAAGCAGAGGCTGTTAAGGAGACACACTGGTCTAAGACAAGGCACCTATTCTCTCTCTCCCCTGACATACATGAAGTGCTTGCCTCTTGTTCTGCCGACAAGTCACAAAGTCTTTCCACCATCAATAACAACAGCAATCCTTAAAAAGGATCTATTTACAGATAAGAAAACTGGTTAAAGAAGGCAAGTCACTTGCTCTAGGCAACACACAGAATGCAGAACCTGTACCTAGGGCTCCAAATCTAAAATTTGGGCAGAAAAGCAAAGCCTAGGTCAAGTAATCAATTGCAAGTCATAATAAACATTGCAAACAGTAAGAGAATAAGCCACAGGTTCCTCATATCTAATTCTCAAAAAGGAGGTACAAAAAGAGCATGGTGTGAGAAATGAGCCAGACAAAAATAGGGTGCATTCTGTATGAACAGGCAAAATTAACAAATGGTGGGGAAAATGGGGTGGGGGGGGGAACCACAGGGAAGGAGGCAAACCTTCAGAACCAAGATTCCATTTGAGGAAGGAAGCTCAGAATAAATATCGCACTCCTTCCTTGGGCATAAGTACTTGAAGATTTAGGTGGGAAATTTTAAGAACTTTAAACTGGTAATTTTTTTGCTGTGGCAAAATATACCCAGGTGAAAGGGGTCTCCCCCCTAATTTAACACTAACTATTTTAAGAGTACAATTTGGTAGCATTAAGTAAATCCACATTTTTAAATAATTTTGTATTAAGCCAGGCAAATTTTGAAGAATACAAAACTCACACAATTTCCTCTATAAAATAAGTTCTACAGAAATATGGATCCCTGGAGGCACTGTGTCTGTGTTCTTCCTCTTCAAACATTAGTTTGGTCTAAAAGGCTGAGACATAACTTAATGTTGTAATACAGCAAGAAGACTGACACCAGATTCAAAGCAGATGTGGCCCCTTGACTGAGGATTTCTTAACCTATAACTATTAAAAATACATTTATTTTCTACATAAATTTTAAAAAGAAAAGAAAAAGGAGAGGGCTGGGGGTGTAGCTCAATGATACAGTGCTTGCCTAGCATGCATGAGGTCATGGGTTCAAACCACAGTACCATAAAAAATTCATTAGCTTATTAAGTATGTCACCCTAAAAGAAGAAAAGACCCATCAAGAAGGATCAGCACAAGAAAATTAGGAAAATTAATCCAGAGTAGGACTACTCTCTGCCTGAGCTAGGGGAAGCTTATTGACTCCACCTTAGATAAGGCCTGGTTATCCCTCACCAGGGTTTTTTGTTTTGTTTTGTTTTTGGCGGTGCTGGGACTGAACTTAGGGCCTCACACAAGTTAAGCAAGCGCTTTACCACTGAGTCACATCCTTGGCCTCCCCTCACCAAGATTTTTACAATAGCTTCCTAACTGGTAGACCAGTAAGTAGTTCTCCCTCTCCAAGCCCCTATGCAACCTGGGTGAGCTTCTTGGTATGTAAATCTGACTATGTCAAACAGCCCTATTTCACTAGGGCTACTTCTGAGCTTCTTTTCCTACCATTCCATACCCACCACCCCTTCTGGCAAGGCCCCAGTCTTGGCACACGAGGTTCCTTCTGTCTACAACTGAACTCATATTTCTTGGATTGGCTGACTTCTACTCAACCCTGCTTCTGAACTGAGACCACAATCCCCTCCCACGCTCCCACAACCCCCTGAGCTCTGTTCCTATCGCAGCAATTATGACACTGGCTTATTCTTGTCTATTCATGAATCTCTCTCCCCAATGGGACTATGGTCTCCACGATGGCAGGGACCCTATTCGAAACTGAAGCACTGGGAATATCAGGACTGAACGAACAGGCATTAGAGATGGAGCCACATTTGGGGGATAAATGCACTTGAAAGGGGGAAAAGCCACCTTCAAATGTAAATCTTTCAGTTTTACAAAGAAGGTTCTGCCACCTGCAGCATCAACTTGGATCTGTCACTACGTCTGTGTGGCTTCTGTTCCTCGACCATGAAATGGGAAAAACAGTAATTTCGCCTGCTTTCCAGGATGGGGGAAGGACTGAGTAGCATCGCTTTATCGTCCTGCGGTCCACAGGCCTAGGGAGCGGAGCAGCGATCAGCATCGGCATCCGCGAGGGCTCGCCTCGCGCCCCGGGACAAAGCAGGCGGCGCGGCCGGGCCTCGTACCTCGGTAGCTGTGGATGCGGCGGCCCGTGCCCGGCGGCAGCGTGGGGTAGGGCTGCGGCTCGCCGTCGAAGTTGAGCCACACAGGTAGCACGACGCGCGGGCTGCGGTTGCAAAAGATGACCTGGGAGGGCTCGCGCGAGTTCACCGAGCGCAGCACCGGCCGCTGTCGCCCGGCCTCCATCTCCTCCTCGGCGCCCGATTCCTCCCGGTCTGACTCCTCCGGACCGGACTCCTCAGCGCCCGATTCCTCCCGGCCGTACTCCTCAGGGCCGTACTCTTCGGCGCCCGCCTCCTCGGCGCCCTCCTCAGCCCCTTCCCGGCTCCCCGCCTTCCGGGGCATTACCCCCGCAGCCTAGGCAACCCTGGCCCGGTGGCCTCAGGATTCGCGGGCCGGACGCGGGGCGGGACGTGCGTGCGCGCCCCGGGCAGGCCTGCGCCACTCTTCGCGCGCTCTCGGTCAGGCATAGAACACGCAGCCGCAGAGACTATGCGCGTGCGCAGATGGGACCTCGAGCCGGGGGCGGAGTGGGTGTGTTCCGTTGTCGCGTTTCTACCGCGATTTCCTCTCTTAATCTTCCTTCGTTCCTAAGACTTTCAAGGTATTTGCCACGTTTTTCTTACCATCTGCCCTATCACTTAAAGTTTTTCTTACTCATCGTTTGTTTCGTCTCTACTTTGGGTTACAAAATTTAACATGCACAGCAGCGTACCTAAGGGACAAAATTTCCCTCCCACCTTTGCACCCCCCACTCACCGAAAGAGTTCCTGGAAACAAAAAAGTATAACCGGTGTTTGTTGTTGCTTTTGGTACCAGGAATTGAACCCAGGGGTGCTTAACCACCAAGCCACTCCCCAGCCTATTTGTATGTTTTAAGACGGTCTCACTAAGTTGCTTAGGGCCTCGCTAAATTGCTGAGGCTGACTTTGAACTCGCGCTCCTCCTGACTCAGTCTCCCGAGCCGCTGGAATTACAGGCGTGCACCACCAGGTCCGACTTGTTTTGCTTTCTTTCAAAGATACTTGTGCATATGAAAGCAATTAAACAAGTTTAAGAAGAGTGTTTTTTTGTTGTTGTTTGTTTGTTTTTTGCCTGTGATCTAGGGATGAAACCTAAGTAAATGGGGATTATAGGTGTGCACCACCACACCAAGAGCATATCTTGGTTATTATGGCTATAACTACTGTATATATGGGAGTACAGATGTTTCTTCAACATACTGATTTCATTTCCTTTGTATTTCAAATACTCTTTCACTTGTGCCCAGACAAGTGAAAACTTTCAGAAGGCGAAAATATTTCAATTGAAATTTAATTATATAATTACATTTAATTATATTTAGTCTATCAAATAGCACAGCTGCAGGGCATGGTGGCACACCCCTGTAATCCCAGCATTTGGGGATGCTGAGGCAGGAAGATTGCAGACTGAGGAATTACATTAGTAAGTAGTCTGTCTCAAAATAAAAAAGGCTGGGAATGTAACTAAGTGGTAGAGTGTCCCTGGGTTCAAAACCGTCTACAGGGGTTAAAAAAAAAAAAAAAAGTTTAGCAATGCAGTACCCTGCATAGGTTGTTTACTCTCACGACTTCCTGGTTGACTGGGAACTGCAGCTCAGTGCTGCCACACGGCATCATAAGAGTACTGCATAGTCGGGAAATGATAATTTCCACTGAAAAGTCTATTGTGCTTACAACCATTGTAAAGCTGAAAAATAGTAAAGCCATTCTAGGTTATGGACCATCTACATAGCAAGTAGTGAGACTGCTGGATCATATGGTAGTTCTATTTTTTAAGTTTTTAAGGAAACACCATGCTGTTTTACATAATGACCATACTAATGTACATTCCCAACAATATACAAAAGGTCTCTCTTCCTCACATCCTTGACTACACTTATTTTGTCCTTTTTTTTTTGAGACAGGGTCTTGCCAAGTTGCTTAAGGCCTAGCTAAACTGCTAAGACTGGCTTCAAATTTGCAGTCCTCCTGCCTCAACCTCCTAAATCACTGGGATTACAGGTGTACACCACCATGCCCACCCTGTATTCACTCTGAAAAGAAACACTGAGTTTGTCACATTGAATGAGTTCAGGTTGAGGATAATCTCAATTCAAAACTGTTTTGTGATGAATCCATATATTCTTTGTACTATTCTTACAGCTTTTCTGTGAGTCTGAAAAATGCTTCACAGATTATGGTTGGGAGATGCAGAATGAGACACAATACCAACCTCGCTCTTAGTCTCAAAGCCCAAAGGAACCAAAGATAAACTTGTCCTAGACACCCTCAAATGCTAATGTCTATGCCAATGGATACCACCTGACTAAATGCCACGGGCAACTGCCCTTTTGCTCTAAGTTGTCAGTGAGATCCAGAAAGAAGTTGATAGATGACCAGCCTGGTACAGAAAATGAAACTCCCTTGTGACATGAGTGACTCAGCACTGACCTTGGGAATAAGGACTGGGTTCTAGCTTTGGCTTTGCCATTATAGTGGGTATAATTACTTGGCATATCTGGGTTTGCTTCTTTTTTTATAGAAACAAAGATTATCTCGAAGATAATCTTACCTGTCCTAATGTTCTGAGTTTTAATTGTAGCTAATACTAAACTTTGACAACTTAGTCTGCAGGTAGGTGTTATGGTTTAGATACTAGGTGACCCCCAAAAGCTCATACAAGAAAGTTCAAAATGAAATGATTGGATGAGAGTCTTAACCTAATCAGTGCATTAATCCCCTTATATGGATTAACTGGGTGGTAACTGTAGGCAAGTGGGATATGGCTGGAGGAGGTGGGTCACTGTGGGTGTGCTTTGGGGGTTTATATTTTGCCTTGGTGAGGAGAGCTCTCTCTGTAGCTCTTGGTGGCTGTGTCCTGAGCCACTTTCGTCTGTCACACTCTTCCCCCATGAACTCCTGCCTTACCCCGGGTTAGAGTAAGCCATCTGTGAACTGCTGAAACTGATCACCAAATAAACTTTTCCTACTCTAAAATTGTTTTTATCAGGTCTTTTGGGCACAGTGATGGAAAAGTTGATTACAACAGTAGCTTTTCTTTTTGTTTCTTATGTGGTATTGGGGATGGAACCCAAATCCTCGAGCAAGTGTTCTACCATTGAACTCTACCCGTAGCCCAATCACATTTTGGTAGTTATTAATGGCAGCAACTGTCTACAAACTACCAGAACAAGTTTCATCTATCATTCTCCAGAAGAGTGGGGGCAAACTTTTTTTGCAGGCATCTGTTTGAAACTAAATACAAATGTGTGGAAGGAGCCTAGAGATAAAAGGGCTTTCTACCCCATTTAGTATGGCTTACAGTATACCATACATAGTATAAAAATTATGTGTGTATATTTTTTTGCGAGAGGTTTACTAGGGATTGAACCCAGTAGCACTCTACCACTGAGCTACATCCCCAGTCCTTTTTCTTTTTTGAAACAGGGTCTCACTAAGATACTGAGGCTGGCCTTGAACTTGTGATCCTCCTGCCTCAGCCTCCCAAGGCTTGAGTAACAGAAGGAGAGCTGAGAAGTAGATACTTGTCTAATGCCAAATGATCAGTTCCCCTTTTTCCTGCTTTCTAAAATCCAGTTCAAGGTTTTCTTTTTCTTTACTTTTTGTGGTGTTGGTATTGAACTCAGAGCTCATGGATGCTAAGCATACCACTGAGCTAAACCTCCACCTCCTGTCCTCAAGCTGTTTTTGTTTTGTTTTGTGGTATTAGGGATTGATCTCAGAGGTGCTTTACTACTAAGCTATATCCCCAGTCTTTTATTTTTTGAGACAGGATCTTGCTAAGTTGCTGAAGGTCTCACTAAATTGCTGAGACTGAATTCAGACTTGCAATCCTCCTATCTCAGCCACCTGATTGCTAAGATTACAGGCATGGGCCACCAAGCCCAGTTGTCCAACTGTTTAGTACTAGGGATTGAACCTAGAGGTGCTTACCACTGAGCTATAGCCCCAGCCCTTTCTATTTTTTATTTCGAGATAGAGTCTTGCTAAAGTTGCTTAGGACCTCAGTAAATTGTTGAAGCTGGCCTTGAACTTGTAATCCTCCTGCTTCAGCCTCCTGAATTGCTGGCATTACAGGCATGTGCTGTACATGTACATCAGCTGGATGGCTGATTTTTAAAATTTAGCTCATTTCTCACAGGAGAAAACAGGAAAGTTTTTCAGCATAATCTTTCTTCAGAGACCAGTAAGGTTTTGTAACAAAAGGAAGGGAGGCACAATGTGAGTCTCTTCTCTGTATTGTCTAACCTAGGAAGAAGAAAAGGGACTAAATCCAATTTTCCATTATGATGAAGCAACTGAAAACAATAAAATTCAGTATCTCTGGAAACACTTTAACTTCTGAAACTCAAGTCTCCTTAGTTTAAAATAACCATCTTGTCAACATCTTAGCTTTGCTATAAGAATTAAATGTAATGTTTAAAAAGAGAAAAAAAAAAACATTCAGCAAACCTAGATTAAAATGTAAAAACAATTTTATCGTCCCCAGGGAAAGTGAAATGTTAGTATTCTAGAACCATGCCTGCATACATTGATTAGTGACGCACTGGAGACAAAAATAAATGGTGGTTTAGCATAACACTATTTATGAACTGCAACAAGCTGGGAACAAAGATGCGACTTGCAAGTAAAATCCCAGTTACTGGAGCCCAACCAAATAGAGCTGTTTCTTTGTGCTCCAGAAGCATCTGTAACTCAGAGATAGCTACAGGAAGTGCTGGAATGGATTAAATTCCTTAGGCAAGACTTTAGAAAACACCACATAGTGAGATGGGTATGTAGCTCAGAGATAAAGCACTTTCCTGGCATGTGAGAAGCCTCTGGAAAAAGACAGCTGGCAGAGGGCTGGGGTTGTGGCTCAGCGGTAGAGAGCTCACCTAGCACGTGAGGCACTGGGTTCAATCCTCAGCATCACACAAAAAATAAATAAATAAAAAACAAAGGTGTTGTTTCCATCTACAAAAAAAAAATATATATATAAAAAATATAAGGAAAGCTGGCAGAAGTGAAGCCACACCAGTAGTAGTAGTCCAGATTCTGCAAGGGAAATTCATGAAACCATCTTCACAAAATGAACGAGCATAGGCAGATGTGGCTCAGGGGCTGAGCACAAGCTGAGCATGCTAAGGCCCTGGGTTCCATCCCCAAAGATGAAGAAAAAGAATGATGGTGTGGAGGTATATAAGACTTGCATGGGTGCGTGATTGCTTAAAATATCTGAGAGTAGTGAAAAGGCACTGGACTAGGAATAAGAAAATCAGTTTCAGATCTGGCTAGAGCAGTTTATTTATTTTGGGGGTAACAGGGATTGAACTCAGAACACTTAACCATTGAGTCACATCTCCAGACCTTTTTAATATTTTATTTAGAGACAAGGTCTCACTGAGTTGCTTAGGGCCTCGCTAAATTGCTGAGGCTAGCTTTGAACTCAAAATCTTCCTGCCTCAGCCTCCCCAACTGCTGGATTACAGGCATGTGTCACCATGCCTATCTGATTAAAGAAGTTTGTAAGTGAGGTAGATCTGGGCCCAAATCCAGCACCTCTTTACTTTTTAAGACATGAGCAAGTTGCAGCCTCTCTGAACCTGTTCCTAACCATCACCTAGAGATAAGAATGCCTATATGTTACAAAACAACTTGAATGTTGTTTGAGGATGAAATTAAAGAAAATGCATAAAGCACTTAACATGTTGTAACAATAACTTAGAGGGTGGTTGTGTATACACACACATCTCCTGGAAGGCCAGGGCCTGGTGTGAACAGGGGATGATTATACAGGACAAATTAAAGCACCATGCAGGATGTAGGAACTGCTGTCACTAGAGGAGGCCAGGTTCACCAGTTTCTCCAAAACAAATGGTACATACCAATTGCTATTTTTCCAGCCTATATTGTACTTAGGGCACTAACTCTTTAACATTCATTACATCGCCCCTACCCCCACCCAAGGTATTAGGGATTGAGCCCAGGGCCACTCTGTCACTGAGCTGTATCTCCAGCCCTTTTTATATTTTTCTTTCATTTCATTTTGTGGTACTAGGGACTGAACCGAGGGTGCTTTACCATTGAGCTACATCCCCAGCCCTTTTTATTTTTTGAGACCAGGTCTTAGCAAGTTGCTTAGATCCTTGCTAAATTGCTGGGGCTGGCCTAAAACTTGTAATCCTCCTGCCTCAGCCTCCTGAGTTGCTAGGATAACAGGCATACACTACCATACCTAGAAACTCAGTATTGTGGGCTGGGGATGTGGCTCAAGCAGTAGTGCGCTCGCCTGGCATGCGTGAGGCCCAGGTTCGATCCTCAGCACCACATACAAACAAAGATGTTGTGTCCGCCGATAATTAAAAAATTTAAAAAAAAAAAAGAAACTCAGTATTGTAATACCAATAAATTAACAGATGGGCATCAATAAGGCGATAAAACTTGAGCATTTTCACACATATCCCATGACAAGGGCCTTTCTGCATATATGGGTTACCCTTACTTTTCCCCTATTACCATTCTCATGGTCCTTACACATAGCAGAAGCCAATGTCTGTTGAACTACAGAGCACAAGATAACCTAACATTTGGCCTTTAAATGTGCTTTTTCAGCCTGGAAAAGAACCAAGAAAAAGGACAGGTAAAATATTATGAATAACAAACTCAAGTGACTCTAAAAATATACTACATGAGCTCAATAATGTTGAAAAGAGCACTTACCACGGTAAAGGATGTCAGCTGTCTCCATTATAAGATTCTATTTTTAAATACAAGTACAGGTTAATGCCTTATATAAAATGCAAGGATCATAAGTCTTTCAGCTTTCAGATTTTTGGGGGTTTTGAAATATTTGTACATACATAAGATAATCTGGTGATGGAACCCAGGTCTAAATATTAAATCTCTTAGTGTTTCATATACATCTTATACACATAGAATAGCTTGAATTAATCTTATATGTGTAGGTTGCTTGTTTTGACAGCAGCCCACATGAGGTCAGATACAGAAATTTCCACATGTGGTATCATGTTATTGGTGCTCAGAAAGTACTGGATTTTGGAGAATTTCATGGATGCTCCATCTGTACTACTAAAAATGGTCTTCCAGGGGTTCTAAAAAAGACCTGAGTGCAGGGTCTGGGGTTTTGACTCAGTTGGTAGAATGCTTGCCTCACATGCACAGGCCCTGGGTTCAATCCCCAGCAACACACACACACACACACACACACACACACACACACAGAAAGAACTCAGTGCAACACAGCTTGAATTCTGCAAGTCAGTTTAATTAGTATTTACTGACTACACACCTTCCTCAAGGCATCCAGCTGGGCAGTATAGGAAAAAGGGAATGGAATGCATATACAACAAGATCAAATCCAGAGCTGAAGGGCAGTGTTAGCACAATGTGACAGGAGGAACCAAGAAAAAGGACAGGGCAAATACTGAATGGAAAAGTCTGTGGGTACTTTCTGGGGGAAGTTTGATTTGAGTTAGACTTTGAATGGCAAATATGACTTGTGTAGAGGAAAATTAGTGTGTGCAGAACACGATGAATTCCATGTGATGAAAGTGGAGATTTGATTTTGGACAAAAGCCTTCAGAAGCAGGTTGGCCCAAGTTTATAGAAAGCTCTGCATACCAGGATGAACCATTATAGACTCTTCTGTCTGAACTCCAGGGTTTGCTTTTCAAAGGAAGTAGATATTTAGCTTGAATCTTGTAAAACTGATAATCTGCCCTGGATTGTGGTTAAATTTTGTGGATGCTGGTATTTCAACAGAATATAACCATTATGTCTGATTCAGTGCTTTCTTTTATTGGTGAATAACGTGCCTGCATAGTAATACTTGGTCTCCTGCTGAATGACCAAACGATTTCCAGGATGAATTAGTTAGCTGAAGTACAAACACCAGGACTCAGGCTGGTAAGCTACCTAGACTTTGAATCAAACAGCTACATCTGAAAGTTGTAAGTTAGAATAATAATCCTATATATAACGCTTCTGTGACCTAGATAAAACCATCTATAGTTTCTCTCCCCACCACAATCAAAGCAGCCAGATGAAGTTGAAGAGTTTATTAAGGAAATATGAGAGGCATAGACACCCCAAGTGACAGAAAGAAAACTCTGAAATGTCCCTTTAAGCCAGGTGGGGGCCTGGCCTTGACCTCCCCAAAAAGGGAAATCAGTGGGTTTGCAATAACATTCTCTGGCAGCCACTGCCAGTGCACAAGTATCTCAAGCAGGACTGCCCCCCACCTCCTATCCAAGGTGGGAATGAGACAAAGACTGTCCACAGAATCAGTGCAGAGGCAAAGAGAAAAGTCTGAGAGAGAAACAGAAGTGAAAGGACCTTAACAAAGAATCTCAGACTGTTGGCTTTGAACACCTCAAATACATTGATAAGTAGGTCCATAAAATGTTACTGAAAAGGTAAAATGCCTAATGTTGTTTCCAACAATTCCCCTGGACTTCTCCCCCATGCCACATCACACTCCCAGAGGTACATGGCAGAGCCCAAAGGCCACACTTTTGAAAAAAGAAAAACAAGAAAAAGCCCTGTTGTTCTTTAAGGAGACAAGGAGCTGAAGGCTGCTGGGGCCTTTCCCACGTGGCCTGTGTTCTGTAAAGCAACTTCCCAGCAGCAGAACAGCATAGTTCTAGGTGAGCGTCTCACCTTTTGTCACCTGTCAAAGGAAAATTGACATTCAGATAAATTCAAAGGGACTAAGGGAGCCTTTGAAAAAAAAAAAAAAAAAACTTTTTTCATATCATTCAGATCAAAGATTAAAAGAGTCAGAGATACCTAAATCCAGGCAAGGTACTTAATTCCTCTACGCCTGTTTCTGATTTCAGTTTTCTCAATAGTAAATGGAAACATGCATTCTCTCTGGGATAGCCCCTGCCCATCATACTCACCCGTGCTTCAATGTACTCTATTCTCCGTTCAAGGGCTGTCAATTTCTCATTTAGTGTTGCGAGTCTTGAACGACAAGACATATCTGGTAAAAGGAAACTGATGTTCAGGATTAATGTCACTCCAAACACATGTAAGCACATGCACCCACACACAGTACACAGAAACACATACACCCTGTGCTAAAGAAGAGGAATAATATATAATGGGACCTTAGTGGACAAGGTGAGAAGGATCTTAGAAGCACAGTTGTTCAGATGCTACTGAACAACCTACTAAGGATAGAAGGCACAGAAGAGTGGCCCCTAAAACCCGTCCATGCCCTAATTCCTGGAACCTGTAAATATGTATCATACAAGTCCATAAATATAGATGACAATGGTAGAAGGTCGAAATGAGATGGAAGAAAGAGATGAGATTTAAAGCATGAAGAAGACACATACAACCTGTCATAGCTGGTTTTGAAAAGGCGAGGAGGCAATGAGCCAAGGGATGTAAGTGATCTTTGGAAACAGGAAATAGCTTCAGCTGACAGCCAACAAGGAAACAAATCTCAGTCCCACCACCACAAGAAAGTGAACTCTGCCAACAATCTAACAAGCAAAGATGTAGACCCTCTCTCAGAATCTCCAGAAGGAAGGCCTGCCGACACCTTGATTTCAGCCTAGTGATCAGTGTTGGATTTCTGACCTACACAACAATAAAATACATTTATTTAGTTTAGGCTCCTAAATCTGTGAAAATTTATTATGGCAGCAATAGAAAACTAACACACTAAGGATGTACAAAAGGCCACTAAGTTTCAAGAGAAGAGATATATTGTGTGCATGTGCAAACAGTTAATTTAAAAAATCCTTTCAAAATGTACAACTATAATGTACCAATAAAAAAATGTAGGGGAAAAAAGGAGAAGTGACAAAGCAAAGAAAATAGACATGCCCAAACTTAAGATGGGGTTATGTCCAATAAACCCACAGGAAGTTGACAAGCTAGGGGCGTGGCTCAGTATTGTTTTGGTGTTAGGGGTTGAACCCAGGGGTGCTTTACCATTGAGCTACATCCCCAGCCCTTTTTAATTTTTTATTTTGAGACAGGGTCTAACTAAGTTGCTTAGAGCCTCACTAAGCTGCCCAGGATGGCCTTAAACTTGTCCTACCTCAGCCTCTTCAGTCACTGGGATTACAGGTGTGTACCACCATGTCCAGCTTTTGTTTTTGTGGTACTGGAAACTGAAACCAAGGCCTTGTGCATGCTAGGCAACTATTCTACCACGGAGCTATATCCCAGCCCTTATCTTGGTTGAGCACTTGCCTAGCATGTGAAAAGTCCTGAGTTGGATCCTCAGCATGGGGGAAAATGAAGTATGGTTTTTACTGCATGTATATTACTTTCAAACCATGGTGAAATTGAAAAAGTCTAATGTTGGACCATCAAAAGTCAGGGATGTAATGTCTGTAATGTCAAGAGAGAAAAGCTGAGGCCAAAAAAACAGCAGATATTAAGGAGAAGAAATAAGGTATCAAAAGTTTTTGAGCTCTTGGAAGCCTCACCATTACCACAACCCTAGAAGTATACTTAATCTTTCATCTTTATCTGCCTAGACCTTTTAGGACTAGAGAAAACTCAGAGAACATCAAGAACCCTCTGGAACCCACACTCCATCTGTGAAAAACAGCCCAAATCCCTTCTTTTCCTCTACCTTTTCTAGTCTCCTTTCACCTCACCCAAAGTGCAACCTAGATTTCCCCCAAAATAACTTTTCCTCTGCAAACTCCTCTCACCGAAACTGCTTGACCTCTCTTTTTCCAACTACCCTCAACATAAAAAAGAGAAAGGCATCAAAGCATGGTGATTATTTCTCACTACCTCCTCCAACACCGTCGCTCAGTCATATCTCTCAATAACCTTTACTTTTTATATCTAAAACATACACTCCCTGAGAGTCTCCCACACAATGATTCAACACCCTAACAACTTTCCTTTTCATCTCTTCCCTGGCTATTTTGCAAAGTGCTTCAGCAGATTTTGACAAATCTGCCTACACTCTGATCCTGCCTCAAGTTTCATTTCATCCTGTCCAAATCTTACTCATCCTGCCTGCCTAAGCATCTTCCATCAAGACCCAGTTCAAATTCCATTTGGGAGGTCTTACTAGAACATAATCAACCTTTTCTGAATCTATCTGAACAATTGTGGATGAACTTCTAGTCTCTAAGTTATTAGTGTACTTGGTCTTTGGTTGTTACTTCCCCTTTACATGAAGATTTAACAAGAATGTTCATCATTATTACTTATGATGGTGAAAAAACAAAAACATGCCCAGCATTAAAGGAAAGGTCTGTAAAGTATAACAAACTATAAAGAACTATTAAAACAATCATTAGGGGCTGGGGATGTAGCTCTGCGGTAGAATGCCCCTGCCTAGAGCAAGCATGAGGTTCAATCCCTGGCATCAAAAAAAAAAAAAAAGTCATTAAAAATTACAGAGCCTAGGGAGCTATAATTTATTCCCCACACCTCTTAAAATTTGGTTACAGCCCAAGTCTTCCACTTTCTACTTATTTTTCTTACTGTTTTTATGCTTTTCTTTCTCACTCTTGCCTATTTTCACTCCTACTCTTTATTTGTGTGTGTGTGTGATTGCAGGGATTGAACCCAAGGTCTTGAACATGTGAGGCAACTCTACCAACTGAGGCTATATCCCCAGCCTGCTACTCTTATTTTTTGGTAATTTACATACCAAAAAGTTCACCTGCATAAAGTATCTAATTCAATGGTTTTTAGTATTATTTGCAAAGTTATACAATCATTACCAGAATCTAATTTTAGAATACTTTCATCATCCCTAAAAGAAACCTGTTCCTATTAGTACTTTCAGTCCTCACTGTACCTCCCCTCGTCCTCTGGAACCCACTAATCTTTGTCTCTTCAGAATTGGCTTTTCTGAATATTCTTCACTTTTCTTTTTATTTTTTTAAAAAATTCTTTTACAGTGTTGGGGAAGGAAACCAGGGCCTTTCCCATGCTAAGCAAGTGCTCTACCACTGAGTTATATCCCAACCACCCGGCCTTTTTTGTGGAGAGGTACTGGGGATTGAACCTAGTGGTGCTCTACCACAGAGCTACACCCCCAGCCCTTTTGAGACAGGGCCTTGCTAAGTTGTGGAGGCTGCCTTCAAACTAATTATCCTCCTGCTTCAGTCTCCTGAGTGACTAGGATTACAGGTGTGTGCCACTATAGCCCTATTCTTTTCAGTCTTGTTTTCTGTCTGCTAGAGCTGCTTCCTCTAATTCCCAGATCTAGCTTGCACAGGAGCACCTCATACCCCACTATTCCTAGATACACTCTCATTTTCAACAGAACCAAATTGTTTTTCAGACTGTTTTTCATCTCAAAAACACACATTATGTATGCCATTTAGTAAAAACATGAATATCAACTCTGACAACCTGTCATTTCCCAAGAAAAGAGACACACCAAAATTATGGGTAGGGTGGGAGAGGTAAGAGGAAGAGTTCCTTCCTGGCTGACTGCTTCTACTCTAGTGGTCAATCTGGTAATGAACCAGAATCTAGTAATGATACTATGCTACTGGCCTACATGGATAAACAGCACTGAAGAATATAAAATGTTCAGCTGCAGAAACTCCAGTCATATTCAGATCCCATTAAATATGTACTGATTCAAATAAAAAACACTGAGAAAGCATTCAGCAGCTGGACAAATCTAAAACCAGAGTGTATTAATGTATACGTTATCACAAGATTTTCACAGCAAATGCTACCCTATTAGGATGCTTAATAGTGTGCACACGTCACCACAGTTGTACATGCCTGTTGTCAGCTACTTCTCTGAATGCTTATTTCATATAATCTTAGTACTACATACATCAAATTTTTTTTCTCTTAAATTTTTCTTTTCCCAGGAGGGGTGTGGGTAGGAGGGGTACTGGGAATTGAACTCAGGAACTTTCTATCTCTGAGTTATATCCCCAGCCCTTTTAAAAATTTTATTTGAGGCAGCATCTTGCTAAGTTGCCCAGGCTATCCTCAAACTTTCAATCCTCCTGAGTCACTGGAATTACATCCTGAACTGTTTTTGCAGGTACATTTTACTCCTAGGATGAGTCTTGGGACTGAATGAAAAAGAGTTTCGGATTTGCAGTGAAGGCCAGGTGTGATAGCATGGACCTGTAGCCACAGCACTGGGAGGATAAGAGAAGGTCACTTGAATCCAAGGGTTCAAGACCAATCTGGGCACTATAGCTAGACCCCATCTTAAATCTGAGGGTACCCAAACTACAAGAGTAATAGGGTAAATAGGCCTGTAATTTTGCAATATCTTCAGGTCATTAAAATCAATCAGTCTAGCCTTTCTGGGTCTCCTAGCTCCAAATCCATTCTTTCCACTAAATCATATTCCTTCACTTGTATTTCTTAAAAGAAAAAAATAAGTTCTTTTTTAGGATACATGAGCTCTATAATATCCTGATTACCATCCTCTACCAAAATTTCTACAGCAACTTATGTGTGAATATGTTTATACTACTAATCTTTTTTTTTTTTTTTTTGGTACCAGGGATTGAACTAGGTTAACCACTAACCACACCCTCAGCCTTTTTTTTTTTTTTTTTTTTTTTTAAGAGAGAGCGTCTCCTGAGTTACTTAACACCTTTCCTAAGTTGCTGAGGCTGGCTTTGAACTCCCAATCCTCCTGCCTTAGCCTGCCAAGCCACTGGGATTAAAAGCATGCACCACTGCACCCGGCCTCTTTTTTGCTATTTAACATGGCTGAGAAAGGAACTAAAGTACTCACTCTATGGTAAGCAGATGCTCTACCCCTGAGCTACACTTTCAGCCCACTGACAAAACCCTTACTCCTGCTACAAGGATCAGTCCTCTCTCTACAGAACAGTTAATTCATTCTCAATTCTTCTTTTTTTAAATAATCAGCTTTTCCTACTTAATCTTTTTTCTTTTTCTACTACTGGGGTTTGAACACAGGACACTCTACCATTAAGCTATATCCCCAGCACCTTTTTTGGGGCAGGTTTGGCCAGTTGATCCCCCTGCCTCAGCTTCCCTAGGAGCTGGTATTACAAGCTGGTATTACAAAGCTGGTAGCCCTTTGCTCAGGCTCCTATTTAATCTTAACAACTTGATGTTGCTGAATTAGTGGTACCAAAAAAAGATTATTAGACATCATCCCTTCTTCTTGTAATTACCTAAGAAACACTATCCAGGGCTGGGGAAGTAGCTCAGTAGTAACGTGCTTGCCTAGCAAGCATAAAGCCCTGGATTCAATCCCCAGCACCAAAATTAAATAATAAGAGATCTTAGAAAGTCTATCCAGCACCAAGGCGTCTGAAAGAAACACTTGGAGAACATAGGGTAGAAGTTTCTACTATAGGTTACTGCCCAGAAGAATATGAACAGTGCATAAAGAATTTAAGACTGTCACGAGCATTACACCCAGGAGAGATTTTGGTAAAGTTGTCTCTATACTGAGAACAACTGCTTGGAAGAATGGGCTAGAAGAAGGCAGAATACCCACTATAAACAATATACCATCCATAAAGAGGGCATTTTCAAGGCCCTACAGGACCCGGGCCTTAACTCTGATCTCACCGCCTACCATTCTGAGCACAGCATACACTGAAGACAGGAAAGAATGAACAGTGAATGGATGACAGGGGCGACTAAAAGAGACTAAAGAAAGAGGTTTTGACTTGATCCTGAAGGAGACGGGGAACTGTTTGAGGAGTCTTTAAACTGGGTAGTGACACTGTCAAGACTGCACGGTCTAGATGCAAAGTGGAGACTGGAATGGATGCGGAGCCCAAAGGACCAGGAGACCACTGAGGAGGAGAAGTCCCACGGAGGGCGGAGGGCGCTGCCTTATGTGTCTGGGGAGAGGGCCTGTTAATGAGTCCAGCGAGATGACAACGAAACCATCAGCTTAGGGCTGGGCAACCTCACAGGAACTGCCAGTGGAGCCTAAGGTCGGGGGGAAAGGTGGAGCCTAAAGGAGGAAGCGAAAACCGGCAAGAGCAGAAGTCTCCGGGGGTCCCCGGAAAGCTCCTCCTCGGCGCCCCTGCAGAACCGCCTCCGAGGCCTCCCTCCTCCCCGCCTCCCCCAGCCCGCCCGCTGACCGAACGAATTGAGAAAGTCCGCGATTTTCTTGATGCTGCTGGTGATGACTTCAATGTATTCCCGGTTCGCCCAGTCTTGGTGAATCTCTCGTTGCACCGGATCCTCCTGTCCCGCCATGGCGGCCGTCTGAAGAAGAGTGAGTGCGCCGGCGCCTCGACCCCATAGGCCGCCAGTGCGCCTGCGCCGCCAACCCACGCCCAATCGGTACCCACTAAACCCCGACATTGTGGTGCGCCTGCGCACTGTAGCGCCCTCGCCTGCGTTCTCGCTCCGCTCCCACGCCCTGGAAAACAGATGCCTGAACTCCTTGGGCGAGCTGCACACCCACGCCTGTCACTGGCAGTTCTGGTCATTAGGGGGCGCGTGGGCTCCCCTCGCCTACTCCCTTAGCGGCTCCAAGATCTTTTGCGCTTGCGCAGTCTGTCTCAGCAATAAGACAGGCATGGTTGATTAAGCCACACTAAATACAAGTCACTTAGGAAATGCCTTTCATATGATGCACCATGTAATATGATGTCCCACTTTGCGTTTAACAAATGAGCAAAACATGGCAACAATCGGGCCCAGTGGCTCACGTTTGTAATCCTAGCGACTTGAGAGGCAAAGGCAAGGAGGATCACAAGTTCAAGGCCAGCCTGGGCAACTTAGCCACTGTCTCAAAGTAAAAAAAAAATAAAAATAAAAAGGGCTGGGGTGTTAGCTCAGTGATAGAGCGCCCCTGGATTCAGTTCCCAGTGACGCAAATAAACGTTTAAGACCCAGCGATGGAGAGGCCAAGCCAAAATTGGTAGGGTCAGAGGTAGTTGGTCACAATGTTAACTAGTATCATCCTTTCAGAAGGAATCTTGTAAACTGGTAGCAAGTAAACATTTCAAAGCTTTTGACCCCCTAATCATTTCATTAAAAAAAATCAGTGGGGGGGAAAACCCACAAAGACCACTTTAACCACAAAGATGTTCTTCGTGGTAGTAGTATAACTATGGAAGAATGGCTAATATTGTAAATATTATGCAGTCATGAAATGTTAATTATGATCACTTTGGCAACATAAAATGTCACATGATAAACTGAAGGGGAAAACAGAATACATATTTTTCATTAGTGGCAACTATGTGTTAGTTGATTAGGGCTGCCCTGGAAAGGGAATACTGGCCGCCTGGAGCAAGTTCTCCAGAAGGGAAGTTGTTATAAAAGCCTGAACCCGGCCAGCCCCTCCCACCTCTCTGCTTCCTGCCTCTCCTTGTATTTCCATCTTTCATGTATGTTGCCACCATGTGCCATGGGGCCCTCTCCAGAGCCTACACCACATTGTTATGGATTCAGCCTCTACAATTGCAAGGTAAAGAACTTTTTTTTTTTCCTTCATAAGTAACCTGCCTCAGCTATTTCATTGCAGGAATAAAAAAGCTAATACAAGGAGATTCTGGTTTTCCGTATGTTACTACATATCACACTTGGAAGGATGATAAATGACACTTCCAGGAACTCGTTCCCAGCCCAAGGTAACCATTCTTAATGATGCTGTGCTAGGACAATTATGGGTGTACAAGAAAAAGGCAGGTGGGCCATTAGTTCCCCCCACAAATACTGCTAGACAATGCAGTAGATAGGCACTGGGGATTCAGGAGTTAGCTTGGTGGACTCCTTCCTTCCCTCAGCCATCCAGGGCAATTGAAGCAATGCTTACAAACTTGTCAAGTCACTTTTTCAGTATGATGAAAGCATCAGTTTTTCAGCATTGCAACATGAGACAGAATCGCCCTCCCCAACCTGTGAGTACTAGCAGATGAACCCAGGGATGCACTACCACTAAGCTACACCCTATCCCTTTTTATTTTAGGGGGACAGGGTCTCACTAGGGTGCCCAGGTTGATCTAGAACTAGTGATTCTCCTGCCTCAGCCTCCCCAGTAGCTGTGATTACAGGGCATACGCCACCATTCCCCAGAATAATAATCCTGAAGTTTAACAGCAGCAGACAGGTTTTCAATCAGGAAGTCAAGGAAAGATTTTTTTTTTTTTTCCTCTCTTGACAGGCAAACATTTGTAATAAGTTCTGTCTCCTTGCACTGGATCATTTCAATACAGCAGCAAAAGCCTTCAGGACCCTCGGTCCTTAATCCTGAATATGGGCAGAGGGTAATTAATACACATTATTATTATTAGTAGTAGTAGTACTGGGGAGTGAACCCATGTATGCTTAACTACTGAGCAACACCCCCAGGCCTTTTTTGTATTTTATTTAGAGACAGGGTCTTGCTGAGTTGCTTAGGTCCTCGCTAAATTGCTGAAGCTGGCTTTGAACCCGCGATTCTCTTGCCTCAGCCTCCCAAGGTGCTAGGATTACAGGCGTGCACCACCACCCACGGCTTGATACAGATTTTTATCCCTAACTACAGGCCCAGGATTTTTACACCTGACCACAGCCTTTGTGGTGGGGGTTTCTGTTCTCTGTGACCTGATCAAAGGCTCGCAGGTATGGTAGGATGGGGATGGGAAGGAATTCTAACTAGCCCTGCTGAAACCTGAGTCCTGGACCAGGCGTTCCAAGGAGTGAGTGGGAGGCCAATCCTGACACCTCCCAGTGGGGCGGGGCTCGGATTCTCCCCCAGGGGTCCTGGGTCACAAAGGCGGTTGCCAAGCGCTGGTGGAGAAAAGATGCTGCTGCCACTCTGGAGCGTGCGGCCCACGGAGTTCAGCAGGTGAGCCCCCGGCCCGGATGGTGGGACCGGGCCCGGGCTCCCACCTCCTCTTCCGCCTCGGCCAGCGCCGTCTGGCCACCGCACCCGGGGAGGGGCCCCAGGGGGACAATTCCCTTCTCCAAGCACTCCAGCTCCTCGGGATCTGTTCACACAGTTCACGAGGACCTCAGCTGCATTTGGGCGCTGCGTTCCCCTTTCCAAGGTGGGGAAATCAAGGGACTGGGTCCCTTGGAATGGGAGGAATGGTATGAAAGGGGATACTTTGGGGCCAAAAAAACCAGGTGTTCCCTATTTCGGAGCTATTACAGTAGTTTTAGTATACTTCCTATTCAATCCCTCCTGGAATGGGTGACAGTGACTTCTTGCTTGGGATGGGCTGAACCATTTTTAAACCTTGTGTGAAGTAAGCCCTCTCTTCCATGTTGTTTCTGAATATTCAGGCTGGACATGTGACAAAGCCTTTTAACTTAGGCTGTTTCCTCTTAGGAGGGTCAAGAAAAGAATCCTGAGGATTTGACTTCTTTTTTTTGGGGGGGAGGGGGCATATGTTTAGAGGAATTAATATTCTCCATCCCATTTTGTCATAAGTGGCATACCAAAGTGGCCCCAATCTTGTATGTATGTTCTTAAGGTCAAGATATCTTGCATCAAAAGCCCTTCAGAGACTGGAATAGATAATTATCCCTTGGGTGCCAATTTCTCATCCTAAGGCAGCCCAGATATTTGAATGTTTAGTAATTTGCAGGAAGGCTGCATAGAACATGAGAAACATACCAGCTGCAGTAAACCAACCCATCTTCTTCATACTAACCATTGCTGGGGCAGTTCTGGGTTGAAATGTCACCAACAATTCTTTTTAAAAGATGAATTTCATTGCTTCAACACTATGGTGAAGCTGTCAACTTCTCAATGATGACAATTACTGGGTAGGATGAGATCAAATCTACCACTGTATTTTGTGGGAGAAGCAAAGAGAGAGAAAAATACACTAGGCTAGAAAGAAAAGGGATTTGCTGTATATGTCCCTTGACATAAAAGGTAGATACTCAAGAAATGTGAGCATCTCTTGAAATCAGTAAGGCCCTTAAGTATTGTCAGTTTTGAAACAGAATGATGGAAAGCTCCAAATCTACTTGGATAAAGTATGAGTTAGCAATCTCCTCCCAACCCCCCCCCCCCCCCCCCCGCCCCCGCCCCTTTTTGGGAGGTGGTGCTGGGGATTGAACCCAGGGCCTTGTGCATGTGAGACAAGCACTCTACCAATTGAGCTCTATCCCCAGCCCACCTCCCAATCCTTCATTTTCAAAGACAAAATCATCATCATCATTATCATGGTCTTAACCAGTGGGTCAGTGGGTCTCACATGGATGAAAAAACAAAAACCCATACCCAGAAAAACAACAACAACAACAACAAAAAAAAAAACGCTTTAGAACATTTTAAGAGACTCGCCCGTGGAAGTGTTTCCCCTCAGCCTGGTATAACTCCTCTAAGGTGGTCCCCAGTTGCCTAGGACTCAGAAGAGCTGTTCCCTTTGTATCAGGAAACAGACTTTTAGGGGCAAGAGGGAGCAGACTGTCTCCATTATGAAAAATAGTGCAAGCTGGCTGGAAGTGCTTAAAAGGAACAGTGTAAGTTGTTCTTAAACTGAAAAGTACAGTGGAGTCCCCTGAAGGGTTTGTATAAATGCAGGTTTCTGGACCCCACCCCAGAGTTTCTGATTCTGTAGGTCTGAATTGGAGCCTAAGAATTTGCATTTCTACCTACTTCCCAAAGGATGTTCAATCTGTTAGTCCAGAAAGCATACTTGGGAACCACTGATGTTAAAATACATGGCATTAAGGGTGACCTATTTTTAAGATATGGCCTGAGCTGCTTCTAATCTCAAATAATAAGATCTCATCATGAAGTCCCAGCACCCTCTGTCACCTCAGAGGTATATATTCTGTCATGAGCAGTTACCAACACAGCCCAAGTCCCAACAGTGGATTGGGACATTCCATGTCAGACAAATCCATTTCCTCATTTGTAGGATGGGTTAAAACCTCCCTTTAGAGGCTTGTAAAAGGTTTAATAGAATTTTAGTGCACATATCAGTTGACACATTCAATACTCATTACCATCCCCATCCCCTACTGTCCTTTCTAGAATTACTAATACCCTATCACTACTGGAATCTGTTCATGGGAACCACAAAGTAAGTTTAATAAGTCAGTAATGAGACAGATGTGAACTGTCATGGCCATGACCTCGCCGGGGAAATTCCATGTTTTTGATTCCTCTCCTTTAGGACTGTCAATGGCAGGATATCAGCTCTGGTCACCATGGACCCCACTGGATGAGAGCTTCCAATGGCTGCGGCACACAACACCTACCCCTTCCTCCAAGCACCCCTTTAGGGCCTCCCCCTGTTTTCCACATACCCCTTCTGACCTTGAAGTGCAGCTGTGCTTTCAAGAGGTCACTCTAGTCCTAGACAGCCCGTTCCTGGAAACCGGAGTGAGTCCCAAGTTACCCTGCCACACGTCAGAGCTCCGAACCATGAGCAACAAGAAAGGACTGGTCAGGAAGCCCCAGCCCATCCGCCTCAGTGGAGTGGATTCTGTCTTTGGCAGGGTCATCACGGCTCAGCCACCCAAGTGGACTGGGACCTTCAGAGTTTCAGACAAGTCAGCCTTCTGCAAAATTATCAGCAGGGAGCACCAGTGGCCCACTGGACTTAAGGAGCCTCAGATTCAGATGACAGTGACTATGTGCAAACAGATGCTGCGCTCCATCCTCCTGCTGTATGCAACATATAAGAAGTGCACCTTTGCCTTACAACACTCCAAGTAAAGGGTCCCCATCTGATCCCCCCAATCTTCACACCATGTTCTTTGGTATGTACCTGAAGCTTACACAAATCTGTTCACATAAATGAAACTGTGACACTGCCCCAGCTATTCTGCTTTCCTGTGAAGCAGTGATAATTCAGGAGCCCCTGTCTCTCCAAAATAAGGGGAGGGTGGGCAGTGATAACAGTGCAAGGGAAAACATTTCCATTGTAAATTTGAAACGACCATTTAAAAGAGTCAAACTAGCATTGACATGTACATGTGATAAAGAACCATTAAACCATATAAATCAATGAGCCTACTGTGAACTCACTTAAACACCAAAGACAATAATGAATTGGGGGAAAAGGGGATTTTGAGAAAGGAGTGTGCATTTTTTTGTACCAGAGGAAGATGGGGTAAAAAATATTTATGAGTCAAGAATTAGTTTAAAAACTGAATAGCCTTCCCCCATCAATACAATGACCAAAAAACAATACCTCAGGATAGTACTTAAATGGATAGAAATATTAACAAATATTAAACAATCTTTACAGCCTGGCAAGAAAGAACTTGGTAGCAGCACTGAAATTGGGCTTTTTGACAGAAGAAAGGAGAGCCCTCCATTTTAGATGAAGTATATTCATAATGTTCTGTTTCTAATAAACAATTTTGTAGTATTCTTGTAATTAGATTATAGGTGCAATTCAGAATAATGTGGAAATAAATATTATATGTATGCAAAGTCAGCATAAATTTGATGATGCCTCTTCTTCCTTTGTCTTATATTACTATAAGGATCCAAAAAATTATAAGGTAGCAAAATATTCCTTTTGATTCTGTCTTGAGTATTGAAAGAAGTTCAGGTCACTTCTCTAGAAAGATCACAAAGATGTTGCCATCATATGTGAGAACAGTCCTTGTAATAGAGAAGATGATTTTGAGCAGAAAAACTATGTTGGCACCTATCCCTATTATTTCTCTGCACAAACTTCAATTCTACCTAGTCCTTGAATAATAAAAGAAATCTAAAAAACAAGAATAAGATGACTAAGGAAAAACTTAGAATTTATTTGTTAAAGTGATATAAGCCTAAATTCTAGAATAAATCTGTTTCAAAACTAGTGCACAAAGTCCAGAATCATGACTCAGAGAGTTTACTCTGAAGCACAGCACAGCCACATTTATCGAAACCAGAAACAACGCTTCACTGGGATTCCAAGCCAGGGACTTTGACAATGCTAGACAATCCGTGAAATTCACAAATTAAATAAACCCCCTCTTGGAGGACAAAACAGGATACTTCCAAACAGAAAGAGCAGATTTCAAACCCTGAATACAAAATGGTAAGAGAGTGGCAGAGAAGGGAAAGACAGCAGCAGCCTCTTGGGGTCTAATCAGAGTTGTCGTCACTCTCGTCACTATATTGCTCCTTTTCTCCATCACTTGCTTCATCTTCTTCACCATCCTAAGGAGCAAAGGACAAGTAAGTATTTTAGGCCATTGATCTACGAGACTCAATGAATTGCAAAAAAGTTCCCACCGATATATACTATACTACTTCATTGTTGAAACCAATGATAGATTTTAAACTACTGCTATGGTTTGGATGTGAGGTGATCCCCAAATGCTCCTGTGTTAATGCAAGGATATTCAGAGGAGAGATGATTAGATTATGAGACCTGCTACCTAATTATTCTAATTTGAATCGACTGGCTGGGTGGTAACTGTAGGCAGATGGGGCAAGGAAAAGTGTCACAGGAGGTGTGAGTGAAGGGAGGGTTCATCTTCCCTGTGGCCCCTTCCTTACCTGCTGTCTCTGCTTCCTGGCTGCCACAGTGGAGCAGTGCTCCTCCACCTCACCCTTCTGCCAAGATGCACTGCCTCATCTTAGGCCCAGAGAAATGGACTTGGCTGTCTATGGACTGAGTCCTCTGAAACTGTGAGCCTCAAATAAACTTTTCCTCCTCTTAAGTTGTTCTTGGATATATGTTGGTCACAGCGATGAAAAGCTGAATAATACCTTCTTTGTAAAATGAACCAGAGGCTCTTCTCATTTTTACTGAAGTACTGGGGATCAAACTTAGGGCCTCACACATGCTAAGCAAGTGCTCTACCACTGAACTATATCCCTAGCCCTTCTTATTTTTGTGAGACAGTCTCCCTAAGTCACCCAGGCTAGTCTGGAACTTGAAATCTTCTGCCCTTAGCCTCCTGAGTAGCTGAAATTATAGGCATTCAACACCATCTTAATTCTTGAGCTCTAAGCCAAGACCATGGATGGAGATCATTTTGATACTGACTCATCCCATACTGCAAGCAAACCAAATTTTCATGATTTTTAAAATTGGCCATAGCTCTCCAGCTCTTCTACATGGATGTGACATAAACAAAATCACCATATGCTTCAATAGAAAATGAAATAGATATTAAAAGTACTGGCATATTCAACAGGGAATACACATAAAATTGCTTCGCAAATCTAGTATGGTAGGTTTGTTTAGGATAAAATACAAAGCTAACAGGTGCAGGAGGCATGTTATACATTAAAACAGAGAACCATGCAAATAATTTTTCATACTAAATGGCCTTTATTTAGGCCACACAGCAGGAATTCTTGTATCTGAACTTCTTGATGTCCATGACCCACTTGAATTATAGCAAAATTTTATAAATATGCAAATTTTTATTTAGCTTTCTTTAAATTAACAAAAGCATTGAAAAAAAAAAAAAAAAGGAGTTCTGTTATTTTATTCCTATGTGGTAGCAACTTCTGACTCTAGGTTTTGGCTTCCATCAAATGCTTTCTTTGGTGATTTTTTTTGGACAGGGGAGAACCAAAAATTGAACTCAGGCACACCTGACCACTGAGCCACATCCCCAGTCTTTTTTTGTGTGTGTATTTTAGAGACAGGGTTTCATTGAGTTGCTTAGCAACTCTTTTTTGCTAAGGTTAGCTTTGAATTCATGATCCTCCCGCGTCAGCCTCCTGAGCCATCTAGATTATAGGTGTGGGCCACCAAGCTGGCTTGCCTATTTTTGTCTATTCAAACATGTTTAAGTGGCTTAGCTCATCTTCTCAGAACTTAGAAAATATATTAAACTCGTCTTTTCTTCCTTCTAAAATAGTTTCATACATGAGTTTGTAGAAAACAGTACAATACACAATGGAAGGGAAAATTTTTTTTCTTTGTTTTTAGTGTTGGGGATTGAATCCAGGGACTTGTGCATGCTAAGCACAGGCGTTACTAGTGAGCCACAGCCCAAGTCACTTGGAAGGCAATTTTCAACTCCATAACACATGCCACAGCTTGAGATACTCAAATGATTCTAAAATTGTGGAACTCTTTTTTTCTGGGCCCCAAAGAATTCATAAGTAAAGAAATAGTATTATATCATCAAATATAAGCAGGGAAAGGTCTGCATTCTACCAATTCACAACAGCTAACATGAAACCATCAATGCCAGACTCTGGTGCCCTTTCGATACCTCTGTTGCTTTGCTCTTAGTGAGCTGGGATGACGTGCCACCCTCACTCTCATCTGCTGTGCTCTCCTGGGAATTCTGGGATATAATCTCTTCACCCTAAATATGGAAGGACAGAGACAAATGGTGGGTTATAATGATTACATTAGGGTTCGTACGAGGAGAAAGGCTGAGCAATACAAAGAAAGATGTTCTAAGTCATTCAAAACACTAACACCAACTTGTGTTACAGCATCTAGGGAAGGAATGCTCAACCCCAGGTTTCTGGGATGCCTGTGGCTCTGATATAATATGTATTTCTACAAAAAAGAATTTATCTTTGTATTCTAGTATCACAGTAGATTTACAAGGTAAGAATGTATTAGTGACTTTTGGTTATCGTTGAATACAGATCTAGTTTCCCCAGTATTTTTTTTTTTTTTTTAAATATTTGTTTTTTGGTTTTAGGTGGACACAACATCTTTATTTTTATGTGGTGCTGAGGATCAAACCCAGTGCCTCACGCATGCTAGGCAAGCGCTCTACCTCTGAGCCACAACCCCAGCCCTCCCCGGTATCTTAAAGTAAATAAGTTCCAACACAGGAACCACAAACAGCTATGAAGAGGCTGAAGAACAGTCAAGTGGTTGAAGAACATCAACTCTGGATCAGAACTGTTTGGACTCAAGCTCTGGCTCCACTCACTTGCTGCTGACAGGCCTTACATAAGTTACTTCTCTGAGTTTCAATTTTCTCAAATAGAATCAATCTCATACAGCTGAGGTGAAGAAAAGAAGCTAATTCTCGGGTCTATTTTCATATATAACCAATTATAAAACTATGATATTGTCAGCATGAAAAAAAAAAAGGGCTTAGATCCTTTATGAAAAATGCTGTAAGCAATATTATGATCAACACAAGATTTCATTCAGTCAGACAACTGTAAGACCCTAGAAATGTTCATTTGTTAACGTTAGCCAAAATGATTTCGTGAAAAATACAGACTAGGGCTTAAAACTGCCTTGGAGAGGATTGCACCAATCTGGCTCTATTTCTGAGACCTGTTCACACCAATGGCACCTTTGCTGCCTGTCTCTAGTACAGCCTGTGACTAGAGACCACAGCAATGTACCCTAGCTTTAAAAACTAAACAACCAGACTTCAAAGCAGTCTCATTGGCAAAACAGGGCTTAAGTGACCTTCCTTATATTCCTTCTGATGTTCCTATCAAGGAATGGGAATGAGGTATTAGCACTGGTGGTCCAAAGGCTTACCTGCAAGTCCCGGTTTTTGAGATTGCCCAGCCAGAAAGCCTCTCTGCAATTGTTGAGGACCAGCATTGCTTTGACTCTGCAAACTAAGAGCTCCAGGGTCTTTTTGAGTAAAGGCACATGTTTAGTGAGTCTCATGTCCTGGTGAATCTGAATGAAAATACATACATACATCTCATCTGAGCTTATCGTCAAGCATAAATCTGTACACTGAATGACAGCATAGCCCTGTCAATTTGAGACAGGGTCTCACTAAGTTGTTGAAGCCCGACTTGAACTTGTAATCCTCCTGTCTCAGCCTCCTGAGTTGCTGGGGTAACAATCATGAGTCACCTCACCTGGCACCAAAAATATTCTTGAGCCAGTATTACATGGATATTAAAAAAAAAAAAAAAATCTCTGCTTAGCACAGAGTCCTTAAAATTCCATTGCTCAGAACTTTTCAACTTAAAACCAGGAGAGGAAATAAGTAATAGGAACTGGCTCAAAGAATCATTTGGTTTTCCAGTGACTATAGAACCCTAGGATTCCGTGTTCCTTCAGAAAAAAAAGGTGACAATGGTTTATCAACTCTAAGAGGG